TTTCCTTTCCTTATTAAATAAATATTATTTTTCTCTTTTTTAGTTTCCAGGGTTCTGGAAACTGCCTCCTTTTAGAAATTGAATGAGGGCTGCTGACAAGTTATACAGTATGTGTTGAATATACCAAATGTAACTTCTTTAGGAAGTTTATTCTGTGCGCTCGTATAAACATTTTCTGTTCACAACAAGGAACAGGTTCACAACAAGGAACAGGAAAAAGAAAGGGAGCAAGGAAGGAAACTGGATTGTAAACTTTGCTAATGACCTGTTTCTATTTTATTTTCCTTTCCTCCACCTCTGCCCTGAATGTCACATTCAGCAAGCAAAAGAAGAAATTTACAAAGAAGCCCTTGGAAAGGGCGCACATCCTTACTTCTCTTAAGTTCTTACAAAAAAAAGCCAAGAAAAACAAGTAAGTAGATGCTCCTGGGTCCAAATGTTTTTTTGAAAAGTGTTGCATAGAGGTGGAAATATAAGTGAATACAGGAGCTAATGAAATAACATCATGCGCATTTAAGAACATTTCTAGAAAAACCTAAGAGTATGATGCTTTCAATTTGCCATTTTGCAAATTTCCTATTAAGGAATATAATATTTCCTAATTGATTCTTAACAGAATAACAGAGTTGGAAGGAACCTTGGAGGTCTTCTAGTCCAACCCCCTGCTTAAGCAGGACTGTGGATCTTCAGTCCTTCTCAAAGAGCTTTGGACAATATCAGTGTCAAAAACATTAACATAGCAATAAATGCAACTTTTTATATATATAAATCTGTCACTGTTTGACTTTTTAAAAAGTAGCTCTTAATAGGCTTTTCATGCCATTCCCTTCTTTATTAGCACTTAAATTTGGTATCTCTGTTCTGTTTGTTCTACTTTGTATTAATATTTCTCTGGCAAGTTGCTGTGTGCTATCAGCGTTAAAAACAATACAATTAAATTGTGCTATATTAAATATAGAAAATAGCCCTTGTTTCTAGCTGTGAATTTTCAAAGTTTTGAATCAAGGTAATCTTTATTTAGTGACTGCCTCATTTAGCGATTGTTCATTAACAAAGTTGATGAAAAAGTAAGTTGGTTTCATCTAGTAAATGTTTTGCTTGACTGAATGACTGAATTGCTTATCCCAGTTGTGGTCGCTAAGCAGAATCAATTTCAAACCACCTGAATACAAAGTAGTTTGCTACCACTGATTTTGGGTTTTCAGCTATAAACAAACCACCCAGAGTAGATGGAAATTGGGTGGCATGCAGGTTTAATTTATTATTATTCTTATTGAAATGAGTATATATCCTACTATAAAAAGTTAAGTGGCAATTAACTTTTGGTTTGTTTTTTTAAAGTTTCAGAAAGTTGGATGTGGTTCGTATAATTTATTTGCTCCTTTTACTCTTAATAGGACACTTGTCCAGAAAATGAAAAAGAAGAACTCCAAGGAAGTCCAAAGTAATAATTCTCAGAAACGGGTGACTCCAGAAAGTTAATTCAGTTGCTTTGTCAAAATAAACAAGGATTTTTTTGATCTTTGCAAGAAGAATAAACCCGAGGAGCCCTTTTTTGATGGACAAATATTTTGATTTTGCTTCTTTGATATATGTAGGCTACTGTTTTTCTACTTTACCTTTAGCTACAGGATACCTCATCCCCCAGCCCCTGATAAAGGGGGGACTTGAATCAGATCATCCTCCTTGGGTAACAGTGTGATGGTGCTAATGCAAGTGTTGTACCACAGAAAGATACCCAGATGCAGTCATCATGGGCACAGAAAGGATTCTGGACGCAAAGGGACTCCTCTTACGATAAATGACTCTCAGCTCATAATAAAAGGGAGAACTTCTACTACCAATCTTTGTCATTGACTATGAGAAATCAAATATTAGAATGTAGTAACTGGTTCTGTGGTGGGAATGTAAGGATAAGGCACAATTGTAGCAATCTTCTTTTGTGCCTTTATTGCCTGAAGAGTGGATTTAAAAAATCAATGGGAAGATGGAAAAGACCTCTTCAAGAATTCAGATAGTTTGCAAAAATTAGGAATCTGGTAGCATCTTTTCAGACTAACACATTTTATTAAAGAGTAGAAGTTTGCATCCTTTTTGAAAAATTCCTGAGCCTGAAAAAGTACTATCAAACTTGATTGTTGAATACCATTAAAGATTAACAGCTATCCTACTTTGGTTTGCAAAAAACAATCCACAATAATTCACTGACAACTGTTGAATCTTTGAGATTATAAAACCTAAAACCATATTCTCAATAACCTGGGTCCAAGTGGTTGTGTTGTTAAAATATTAGTTTGCATTTTGGTGTGTGTTTATGTGCAATGTTGTGATTAAATGTAGTATAATGGGAGGTTTTATAATCATCAGTTCCTGCCATCCTAATTTCCAACTGGAATTGCCATACGTTCTAGCTTAAGCATGAGATTTTAACTTTCATATCCCTATCTTTGGGACAGATTTCTTGTGCTTTTAAAGTTGGATGCTTAAGGAGGGAAGCAGATGGGAGATACTGTTTCAAGATAGATGAATGTCAAAACTACAGGATCTGTGTTTATATTTTCCCACTTCGACGGAGTCTCTGAAAATGAACTTCAATTGCAGTCAATTCAACTGGATATGTAAACAGATTGACTGCAAGGGATATAAATCCTTCCATTCCCCATTGTCCTGTCAGAGCTGAAGAAGCTTCTTGGATGAGAAGCGAAATGTCTTCAAAGAAAAAACAAAGTCCAAAGTTGCCTCCTGAAAAAGCCCTTTGGGACAACCATGATCTGGATGATTGAGAATATCTCTACAGACGTAAACAGACTGAGTTCACTTGACATGCTGGCTGGATTTACAGATAATCAGTCGGAAGAAACCTTGTAGGTCATCTAGTCCAACCCCCCCTCCCACTACAGCATTCCTGACAAATGGCAGTCCAATCTCTTCTTGAAAGTCTCAAGTGATGACGCTGTCACAACTTCCAAGGGCAATTCTGGGAGTTGAAGCCTACACATGTTGTAAAAGTTGTTTAAGTTTGAAAAAAACTCAAATGAGCTAATCTTATCCATCATTCAGAAATGCAGGTCCTGTATCGATGGTACCTATGCAACCTTTGCGGCAGTCGCTCCCTTTCTTCCAGGGCTCCGCTTGCAGCCAGAGTGCCTTCCAGGACAACTCTTAGCTCCCATCATTCCCAACACAGCCCCTGTGATTATGGGGCGAGCAGACAACCACAAGGTGGCAACGATGCCCCTTCTCCCAGGTGCTTGTTGCATCCACTTTGAATGGGAGCTGCCTGGGATACTTGCATCCGGAGGCCCTTTCTGTGCAGGGGACAATTGCATGTGGAATCCTTCGTATCTAGAGTCCTTTCTGTGTCGGGAATGATGGCATCTAGAATCCTTCGTATTGGAAGTTGTTTCTGTGCCGGGGATAATGGCATCTAGATTCCTTAGCATCGGGAGTCCTTTCTGTGCCAGGGATGATTGTATTGGGAGTCCTTTCTGTGCCAGGGATGATGGCATCTAGAATCCTTCATACTGGAAGTTGTTTCTGTGCCGGGAATAATGGCATCTAGAGTCCTTTGCATGTGCCGAGAATGCTTGCCTCAGCAGCCCTTCCTGCCCTGACCAGAGGGATGGCCTAGGCGGGGGTCTCCAACCTTGGCCAGTTTAAGCCTGGCGGACTTCAACTCCCAGAATTCTCCAGCCAGCAAAGCTGGCTGGGGAATTCTGGGAGTTGAAGTTCGCCAGGCTTAAACTGACCAAGGTTGGAGACCCCGGCCTAGATGGCCACAAGGGCTCCCGGAGACTCCACCCCGCCAGTCTCCACCCCGAGGAGTGTAGCAAACCCTCCAGCAAACACCCACCACCCGGCTCACCCGAGCCCTCCCCAGTAAGCGCGCGCCGCCGGCTCTGCCCCGGAAGTGGCGGCCGCAGCCGCGGCCCAGCTGACAGGAGGAGGAGGCGGCGGCGGCAAGATGGCGCTGCGGCCGGCGGGGCTGGGGGCCGGAGCCGCCCCCGCCGGGGTCTCCGGCGTCGCGCCCGGGCCGCCGGGGATGCCGAACGCAGCGACCGGAGGCGCCGGAGCAGCGACCGCAGCAGCCGCGGGAAGCCCCGGACCCGCCAGGTAGCCGAGCCGCAGAGGGGCGGCTGGGCGGGCAAAGAGAGATGCGGGGGCGGGGGCGGGGGGGGAGGGAAGCGGAGGGTCCCTCAGGAGGGTCTTGAGGGTCTCCATTGTGTCCCATGCTTCGCCTGCGTATGGGAGGGGCGTGTCTCGTCCGCTTTTGAGGGGGCAAGAAAGCTGAGAATGCGTGGGTCACCTGTGACAGGCGCTTGGGTGGGTGGGTGGGTGGGGGCCACACCTGGCGATGCCCAGGTCCGTCCCTCCCTGTCATTCAAAGTGGGATCCAGTGGGGTCGGTCCACTCATGGCCTTGCTCGCTGGAGTGCAAAAGCGGGTTCCAGTGGCTCTCCGGGACACCCCAAGAAATCCACCTGGCTCCTCTAGATGTTGCCGGCTTCTCTTGCACGCCAAATTCATATATGCCTCATGTTTGACAAGTCCACCCAGCGTGCAGGCATCCACACCCACGCACCCCACTTCAGTAATGGTGGTCTTCGACTTAAGGCCAGAGTTGAGCCCAAGATGTATGTTGCTAAATGAGGCGTTTGTTGAGTCTTGAGTTCTGCCCCGTTTTACGACCTTTCTTGACTGCTTGTTAAGTGAATCACTGCAGTTGGTCTGTTAATAACCTGGTTGTTAAGTGAATCATGCTGCCCCAGTGACTTTGCTTGTTTGAAAGTGGAATCAGGTGACCCCAGGGCACTGCAACCGTCATAAATGTGAGTCAGTTGTCAAGCATCCGAATGTAAATCATATGACCATGAGGATGCTGCAACGATTTTAAGTGTGAAAAACAATCATAAGTCTTTTTTTCCAGTGCCATTGCAATTTTGAAGAGTCACTAAATAGACTGTTGTAAGTCTAGGGCTACCTGCCTTGCCTCTGCATAGAGACATATACTGTATGATACCAATAAAGGAGAATATTTTTAGCTCAGGGTTGAAATGAGGGGTCAATCAATCAGGATAGAGCTGGGACCTTGGAGGTCTTCTAGTCCAACCCCCTGTTCAAGCACAGTGCACAAACCAGGCCAGATCCCTCGAAAGAGGGGAAAACTATTTACAGGAAAGGAGAATTTACACAGTTTACCTTCTTATCTTTTTGAAACAAACATGGAAAGTGAAAGTTACAATATCTACAATGCCCTTTTGGCTGTGACACATGCATTACATTCAGTGTATGGATCCAGAGGCCGACCAACCATGATAACACTTGGAAAGAGTCTCAACTGTCCAGTCATGGCAGGTAATTTCTGTGACTATTCAGAATAGAGCTGGAAGGGACCTTGGAGGTCTTCTAGTCCAACCCCCCTTGCTCAAGCAGGAGACCCCATACCATTTCAGTGGCTGTCCAGTCTCTTCTTCAACACCTCCAGTGATGAAGCACCCAGAATTTCTTGAGTGACGTTTCACTGATTAATTGTTCTTACTGTCAAGAAATTTCTCCTTAGTTCCAGTTTGCTTCTCTCCTTGATTAGTTTCCATCCATTGCTTCTTGTATTGCCTTTGGAAAATAAGTCCACCCCCTCTTTGTGACAGCCCCTCAAATACTGGAATACTGCCAATCCATTTCAGCCATCCATATCAAAACTATGAGGGTCCTTGGTGCTCTCAGAGCTTGGTTGTTTTCTTTACCAAACTAGGACATTTCATTACCAAACTAGGTAACATCATCAGTGCTCTTTGTTGATGACAAGTTGACTAGCACTGATGACATCGCTTAGTTTGGGTAATGAAACGTCTTCAAGAAAATAACCAAGCTCAGAGAGCAGCAAGGATTCATCATTTCAACCCTGGGCAACAAATATTCTCCTTTATTGATATTATGTATGTCTGTATGCAGGCGTGCTGCTGTAGTGCGTGTGTGGATGTGAACACCTGCACACTGGGTGGACTTATAAAAAATCCAGCAGAGGCTTTTGTTGTCGTACACTGGCTGAGCATTTTTCTGAATACACTCACACACAAAATCCATCTGCCTCCCCCATAGGAGCATGTAGGAGTGTTCAATTTATACTGCCAAACATTTCAGGTTCATGAAATGTTTGGCAGTATAAATAACCCTAACCAATGAAAAAGCCTTTAACCATAAACACAGACAATTTGCGCACAATAGTGCATACACACTATTGAGCATTTTTCTGAATACATTGAAAACTGGTATATATAAAATCCCACTCCCACTCCTATGAATGTTTATTGAAGGTGGTTATTTAATTTATAGGTAGTCCTTGGCTTACAACCATGTGTTTACTTAGTGATTGTTTGAAATTACAACACTGAAAAAAGTGCCTTATAATCATTTTTTACACCCATGATCCTTGCAGTATGCCATGTTAACAACTACCTGTATATGGCTGCCTGTTCCAAATTCATCCATACACACATGCACACACACACACACACTAGCTCGATACCCGTGCTTCGCTACGAAACTATGTGGTTGGGCTTAGTTTTTAGGGAGGAAGATAAGGGGGGGAATTCTGCCTCTGCCTACCAGCATCCATTGGTATTCATCTGGCTAGCATCCTCTCAGTGTGTGAGAGAGTTGAGGGCTGTTTGGAAACTGAAGCAGTATTTGCTATGTGAGCAAGAAGGAGACAGCAAGGAGTCAGGGCATGGCTTAGCTCAACTGTTCTGTACTAAAGCTGCTTGGTACTCTGAAACTGAAATTGAAACTCCTCTACTTGTGTTTTGCATTTGGAACAGATTTCTTTTTAGGTGGGAAGGGGGAGTAGAGCTCCTTAGCATAAGAGCATGTTAATAATAATACACTGCTCAAAAAAATAAAGGGAACACAAAAATAAGACATCCTAGATCTGAATGAATGAAATATTCTTATTAAATACTTTGTTCATTACATAGTTGAATGTGCTAACAACAAAATCACACAAAATTTATCAATGGAAATCAAATTTAGCAACCCATGGAGGTCTGGATTTGGAGTTAACACTCAAAATTAAAGTAAAAACACTACAGGCTGATCCAACTTTGATGTAACGTCCTTAAAACAATTCAAAATGAGGCTCAGTAGTGTATGTGGCCTCTATGTGCCTGTATGACCTCCCTACAACGCCTGGGCATGCTCCTGATGAGGTGGCGGATGGTCTCCTGAGGGATCTCCTCCCACACCTGGACTAAAGCATCCCCCAATTCCTGGACAGTCTGTGGTGCAGTGTGACGTTGGTGGATGGAGCGAGACATGATGTTCCAGATGTGCGCAATTGGATTCAAGTCTGGGGAAAGGGCGGGCCAGTCCGTAGCATCAATACCTTCGTCTTGCAGGAACTGCTGACACACTCCAGCCACATGAGATCTAGCATTGTCGTGCATTAGGAGGAACCCAGGGCCAACCGCACCAGCATATGGTCTCACAAGGGGTCTGAGGATCTCATCTCGGTACCTAATGGCAGTCAGGCTACCTCTGGTGAGCACATGGGGGGCTGTGTGGCCCCCTAAAGAAATGCCACCCCACACCATTACTGACCCACTGCCAAACCGGTCATGCTGGAGGATGTTGCAGGCAGAAGAACATTCTCCACGGCATCTCCAGACCCTGTCACGTCTGTCACATGAGCTCAGTATGAACCTGCTTTCATCTGTGAAGAGCACAAGGCGCCAGTGGCAAATTTGCCAATCTTGGTGTTCTCTGGCAAATGCCAAACGTCCTGCACGGTGTTGGGCTGTAAGCACAACCCCCACCTGTGGATGTCGGGCCCTCATACCACCCTCATGGAATCTGTTTCTGACCGTTTGAGCAGCCACATGCATATTTGTGGCCCACTGGAGGTCATTTTGCAGGGCTCTGGCAGTGCTCCTCCTGTCCCTCCTTGCACAAAGGCAGAGGTAGCGGTCCTGATGCTGGGTTGTTGCCCTCCTATGGCCTCCTCCACATCTCCTGATGTACTGGCCTGTCTCCTGGTAGCACTTACATGCTCTGGACACTACGCTGACAGACACAGCAAACCTTCTTGCCACAGCTCACATAGATGTGCCATCCTGGATGAGCTGCACTACCTGAGCCACTTGTGTGGGTTGTAGACTCCGTCTCATGCTACCACTAGAGTGAAAGCACCGCCAGCATTCAAAAGTGACCAAACCATCAGCCAGAAAGCATAGGAACTGAAAAATGGTCTGTGGTCACCACCTGCAGAACCACTCCTTTTATTGGGGATGTCTTGCTAACTGCCTATGCTTTCCACCTGTTGTCTATTCCATTTGCACAACAGCGTGTGAAATTGATTGTCAGTCAGTGTTGCTACTTAAGTGGACAGTTTGATTTCACAGAAGTGTGATTGACTTGGAGTTACATTGTGTTGTTTAAGTGTTCCCTTTATTTTTTTGAGCAGTGTATATGAAATACTAATGCTCTGATGGTCATTTCCAAAAATCCTTTCTTAGTGAGCCCCTAGAAGCCAAGAAGAACATACGTGCCAAATTTCAAGTTTGTAGGCTTTCCGGTTCTGGAGATTTTGTGATGATGCATGAGTGGTATTTCGCTTTTATACATATAGATATAGGAAATTCCCGCCCCTCCAACATATATATTGTTTTTGAAACTGTCAGAAATGTATCAATTTTATTTTCTGGATGCATTATAAAGAGATAAGATTTTTTTTCCTTTCTTTTTCTCCCTCTGCACACAAATTTCCTCAGAAAGTTGATATTTTAAAATATATATTTTTATTTAGTTTAGATTTTAAAATAAAACTTTATTGTAAACAAGCAAAAACAATTTTAACCTCCAAGGGAGCCCTTGTCCCTTCTTCGTGTCAATCAGAGATAAAGGGAGAGATAGAAAAGTGATACTTTAAGATTTACATATATAGTAATCAGACGTAGTATTCAGCAGGTTCTGACCAGTCCTGGAGAACCGGTAGCAGAAATTTTGAGTAGTTCGGAGAACTGGCAAATACCACCTCTGACTGGCCCCGCCCCCATCTATTCTCTGCCTCCCAAGTCCCAGTTGATTGGCTAGGTCTTCTTTTGTGGCTCTGCACAGGAG